TTCGCACAAAAAAATATTAAGCAGCGCAACTGTTTTCAGCATTGATAATAATAAGAAATGTTTCTTGAGCACCAAATCAACATTGCAATGATTTGGAAGGATCATGTGACACTGAAGACCGGAGTAATGATGCTGAAAATTCAGCTTTGCATCACAGGAATAAATTACATTTTAAAATATATGAAAATAGAAAAAAGGTATTTTAAACTGTAATAATATTTCACAATATTGCTGTCTTTTGATCAAATAAATGCTGCCTTGGTGAGCATAAAACGTCTTTCAAAAACATTAAAAAACATTAAATAAAATAAATAATAAAATAAAAATATAAACCCTAAAAATTTTAATAAATTATATAAAATATTTCCGCCATGTTATTTTTAACTTAAAGAAATCATTATTTCATTTATTTTTGTGGAGCCAGAGGCAAACGCTGCGACTCTGGTCAGCACACACTTCTATTTGGAGTGAATTTTGTCATGGTAACAGATACGATTCTGTATCAGAGGACTGCGGAGTGTGTAGAGGGTGACAGGAAGGAGCATCGCCAGTCTGAATCTCTTCTAGGCCAGAGAGATCTGGACGTATACGTTACACTCCCTTAGAGAGTCTGCCAAAGAGCAGCTCCACTTACAAGCCTCGGTTTAAGAAAACGCAGATAAGGAAAACACTCTTGGAAACTGATAAGACGACAGTAACCAAAGGGTACGAAGAATTTTGATACCTACTGTAAAACAACTTCTACCATCAAAAATCAGGTGCTTGTTCTTTCAAAAAAGGGTCTTTGTTATCATATCAAACAGTGCCATTTTTTGGATTCATTATCAGAACATACTCACCCACAAAACTCTGTTTCTTGGTCTCCCAGAGAGGGGCGGCTCGCACCCCATTGGCCACCAAGGCAAAAAAGGCCTTTTTTACCTAAAAAGTTCACATCAATTTTTTTTTTGCACCAGCAGTGACAAGAAGAGGGCACTGTTCACACAAGTACGGCGTGTAATTACACCTTTGAAGACCCTCCACAGTAAATGTTGGTTTTCAACAAAACCCATGTTATGCATACCTGTCTAAGCATTCAGCCACAAGCAAAATACCTTTACCAGGGGAATTTATGAGAAATTTCATATGGGAAATAAACGGATATTGCTTTTGTATAAAGCAATACTGATTCATTTTAAATGTTCAAGTGGCCAATAAACAATATCCTGAGTTTTTAATTATTTTGTATTTCTTCTTTCTGATGCAATAACATATGCAATGTGTATGTTTAAATAACAGTGTTAAATCATAATATTTATTATTTTTATTATTATTAAAATATTCTCAATGAATTTAACAATACTACTAATACTAACAACAGCAATAATAATAGTATTAGTATTAATACTACTATTACTACTACTTATTATTATAATAATACATATAATAATTAATTAATGATAGTATCCACAATGCATTTAACAATTTTCCTTTAACAATTAAACGCTATTATTTAAAAATGTAATTATCCAAATAATTAGGGATGCACCGAAAATGAAAATTCTGGGCAGAAACCGAAAATTCTGAACACACTTGGCCGGAAACTGAAATGGAAAATGCTTTTTTAATAATTATTTATTATTTTATTAAATAATATAAAATAATTTTGTAAGACATTTTAATTTAACTCAATTTTAATAATACTGAATTTAAAAAAATACAAGCCAATAAAATAACCACACTTTTATTGAAAGTAAAACAATAAACAGAAAATATATTAATTTCAAATATCAATATATTATTTTTATTCAGTTCTATGCAACAGAATCAGATTTAACTGATTTCTGTTTAATTATCCAAATAATGTATAGTCCTAACAAAGCTATTGTTATCAGAGCATGTGAGCAGAGCATAGCGTCACGAGAGGGTAGCGTCATTTTTACCCGCGATGCCCAGTACAGCTGTACAAGTATACTACATAGAAATTTCCTGTCGGCATGTTATTTGAGACTTTGCTTTTCCGGTGAGCATGAGCGGTACACGAGTGGAGCGTGAGCAACTCAACGGAATGCACATTCACAGAGCGGAATATTGAACGGAGCGTCACACCGCACAGTGACGACAACTAGAGGGAGAGTGAAACCTGTATATATTTTCAGCTCATATTTTCAGACGTTTTTCTGTTTCGGCCAAAAACCGAAATTTTGGTGCATCCCTACAAATAATGCATTAAATACATTACTTGAAAAATAGGAATATCTATAAAAAATAAATAAATAAATAAAAATTGGTCAAAGCAATTACCTCTATGGAAAGCAAATCAATTCTGAAACAATTTTAGAAAAGCTGAAATATATACTAGGGGCCACACTGCAGGATTTAAGGATTTCTTCCCTTATCTTTAAGCATAAATATCTCCTCGCAATGTACCTTCTACTGCACGGCATGATAACTAGTTCAAAACATGCACATAACCTGCATGGTGGGCGACCAGGCCTGTATGGACCTGCAGAGTGAGTATTTCATTCCAAGCCTTTAACAAAACTCTGTTCTGCCAAAGTCCCTTTAGTCTTGTCACTCTAAAGTCATGTCACTCGGTGGCCATCTTTGAAACGCCTCTCGGGCATGCAAGTGCAGTTCCTATCTCTTTGAATGGGGAAACATCAAATTCTCCAAAACTGTTCACTAAGCTTACGATTAAATTTCATATTTGAAATCATGCACGCATGCACAGTCCTAAGTGCATGTCTCAGAACGCTGACTGTTTCTATAGCAACCGGGACTTCTAACGGCAGCTGCAGTGACGCGCTGACTTTACCGATTAGCGATTGGCTCTTTTGCTCAGAAGGCGGGGCTTCGTTCGATAGAGCGGCCATATTGAGTGTTGCATTTTTCCCCATTCAAAACTATACGAGTGACACGTCTTGGGTATTCTATAGTCTTTGGTTCTGCACTTTGGCTGGCATGTCATTGATTACAACAGGCGTAAATCCAAATCCAATTAATGGAAACCATATATAATCCTGGGGAATACTTAAAATGTTGCAATTATTAGTACCAGCTAAAGTTGAGTGCAAAGCCTTCCTCATCTTGGAGTAAATTCCACCAAGGAGGATCCTTTCAAACACTGTCAATACTGCCATGAAGCCAAACAAAGCATTAATCATGGCGTCTCACGGGCGCTCTTAAATAAATCATGTGAGCCTCTTTTCTTGGGTGATGTTCCAGCCCAATCTGAGATGATTAAACATTAATCGAGTCATAGCAAGGAACATAATGAGACATTCCCCAAGGCTGGCCTTTCTGATGTATGGGCGGTGGGGCTGAGGCTAGTATATCACTGCTGTGAGTCAGTGATCAGGAACATAGGCTTCTTCTGTCCAAAACAACAGCAGCAAGAAGACCATTCATCTAGGATTTATCAAATATTTACACGTATCGACCCCGTGGGTCCCTGCACCTCTATTGAACTTTACAAGCAGATCGTACTGATGCTGATGGAGGGGTTTATGACAGCATGTGCAATACCGGATTAGACTGGAAACATATGTGCTGATCACACAGTACGTGATACGTGTAAAGCGCTGGGAGAACAGCCGACAAAAACATCAATATGTGGTATAACAAACCTTTGGGAAAAGAAACAAGACATATGAAGATAGGAAGAGACAGTGAGAGACAAACGGGACGAGTGAAGCAAGGTTAGGGATGTGAAACTGCCTCCTTTCTAAAAGCTGCAGCATTTTGAATGAGAGGTCATGTGATCAGCTGAAGAGAACAACAGAAAACATTCATGCAATAACAGATGAAACGGAGATGGAATACAGATTGAAAATTACTAAATAAAATAACACAAGTAAGGATGCATAATATATTCATATCTGCTAATATTAGAGATTTTTATATTTATTAAAGGGGTCATATGATGCGATTTCAAGTTTTCCTTTCTCTTTGGAGTGTTACAAGCTGATTGTGCATAGATAAGATCCCTCAAAGTTAAAAACATTCATTATTTCAATACAATTGTTTAATATAATCTTTAGCAAATTTCAAAATGAATATCCATTTTTCATGCTGTACATTATAATATTGCTGTCTAAAAAAAAAAAAATCACACGCAGAAATTGCTAGTAAATTTCAAGTAAGCTTTGTATTTTTCACTTAATAATTAAAGGCTATTATGGAAAACGTAACTAACCAAATAATACATTAAATATGTTACTTTAAAATAGGACCATTTGTAATATATATATACAAATACAATTATCTCTATGGAAAGCAAGTAAGTTCTGAAGTAATTTTAATGAAATACATGACATGCAAAAAGGGGCCAAATTTTGATTCAGGACTTGTTTCCTATAAGCATAACTACAAATTAAATATTAAAATATATTAAATATAGTGAATTTCAAAATTAATATCTATTTTTCATATTGTACATTATAATATTGTTATGTCTAAAATCATTTGTAGAATTTTATTTTTTATTTATTTAGATAAAATAATGGGACATGTTACAGAAGTGTAATACACTGGTGTAGAGACAATTTTCACTCAGAAATTGCTAATAAATTTCACAAATAATTACAAAGAAATGGCAAGTAACACATTAAATTAAACATTACATTTTTAAGTAGGAAAATTGAAACAGTATTTTTTTTGTAAAACATACTCCAATAAACTTGTCCCATTTACAACATTGAAAATTATTATTTATTTTTTTTACAGTGTACTTTTAGTATGATGAGTTATAATAATAGTAATACGCCCCTTAACGAAAAAAAAAGAAGAAAACATTAATTAACTTTGCGGAATGAGTATTTTGTGAGTCATGGTAAACATGTCTGACATAGATTTGTTATCAGTGACATAAACACATCCACAGAGCGCTTACCTGCAGTGTTGTGTCAAAGACCACGAGCTTGGAGCTGGTAGGGACGATGTCATAGCACTTATGTGACTTCATAAACCGCATGTAAATGTCGCTCTCAGATTGTTCAACAGCTGTAAATGACACCAATAAATGAAAACTCAGTCAATTTGAAAGCAAAGTGAGACGTAAGTACATGTCAACAAGTTGTTGTTAAGCACTAGCACACTGCGAGAAGGCTGAGGAACTGATGCATTCATAATGAAAGTGTGTTTTATTATTTAAATGAATTAATAAACATTAAGCTGAACAAGTTTCGGAAAAACAATATTCCTTACTCGGTGTACATAAAAAAAAAGCAGGCTGAAAATAACTGCTGTGATAAAATACAAGAATTTTCTTACACATTTCAAAACAATTCAAATAAAAGTAATAATTGTATTCAAATTAGAACTAGTTACTAAACATTTTTTCATCTGTTCTGACAGTCATCTGTTCACTTAGTTTTCATACTTTTTGACGTCAAGGGCCCCAATAAAATGATCCACTTATGAAGAACGCCTTTCCTAAAATATGATGGCAGCTATATAATTTAATGTGTAAAGACCCATTTATCCTGTGTGAGGAAAACATTAAGAGTAATATTATTTTTTTAAAGTACATTAAATATAATAATAAAAATAATAAACATCATAATGTTTTCTTATTATTATTATTAATGACAATATTATAATAAATTTATACTGTGTAAAGAAAATATTCTTTTTACATTTAATATATAAATTTAAATTAAGAAATTATTTTTTTCTAAAAAAATTAAATTAAATTAAATTTTAAAAAGTTCAATTAAGAAATTAAATTAAGAAATGTATTATTCTTATTAATATGATTATATGATACTTAATACATTTATACTGTATAAATAAATTGTAAAAATTAATAAATATAAAATATATTCACTATATATTTATATAATAAATATAATATTGTTAATACACAATGATCATTTATTATTATTAATGTGTATGTTACCTTTATAATATGATACTTAATATAAAAAGACTCTTAATATTTAGACAGTATAAATGTATTAAGTATATTAACTTATATTAAGTATTAATAATAATATAATTTATTATTGTTATTATTAATAATATGATTATATGATACTTCATACATTTATACTGGGTAAAGAAATATAAAATATTATTATAAAGATAAAATGTACTGTACATAAAATAATAATAGTAATACATTATTATTACTATTATTATTTTATGTATATTATCTTTATAATATGATACTCATATTTAATAAACCATGTAAAGAAAATATTAACTGTTACAGATAACAATAACAATAATAATAAATATTTAGACAGTATAAATGTATTAGGTATATTAACTTATATTAAGTATTAATAATAATATAATTTATTATTGTTATTATTAATAATATGATTATATGATACTTCATACATTTATACTGGGTAAAGAAATATAAAATATTATTATAAAGATAAAATGTACTGTACATAAAATAATAATAGTAATACATTATTATTACTATTATTATTTTATGTATATTATCTTTATAATATGATACTCATATTTAATAAACCATGTAAAGAAAATATTAACTGTTACAGATAACAATAACAATAATAATAATAATAACAATAGTAATAATAATAATAATAATAATAATAATAATAATAATAATAATCAATTTTATTATCATTTAAACTAATAATAATGTCAGGGCTTTTAAAATTGTGTACTGACGCCAAAGTAAATTATTCAAATATTTTCTGGAAAATCCCTAGCAAAAACAAAACAAACTAAAAACACTGTAGTAGATCTGGCAGAATGACACAAATGGGTGACATGAACCCACTGAACTGTGGACTCTGATGTCTCTCTTGTTGTTCCTTTCAGCAGCATCCTGCCTAATGTCCCCAGTTGCCATGGTAATTCTTACAGTAGTATTCTTAGACGCTGAACTGTTTCTTCAGAAGCTTTCTAGACTAAAAACACCACTGAAATCTTTTTGTCGCAAGGCTGTATGTGCAATCTAGGAGGACTCGGGCGCATCTGCCCCCATAGTCTATAGACACCTAGCCTGACTGTTTCAGCAAACATCGATCAAAAGGCCTAGTGAAGAAAGCAGATCTTATTGACAGTAATGGCTCGTTTCCACAGAGCGGTACGGTTCAGTACAGTACAGTATGGTACGATTCAGTGCGGTACACCCTAATCCAGCTTGCTTTTCCATCGCCAACAGTACCCTTACTTGATAGGCGTGGTGTATGCCGGAAAGTAACGATCAACGTCATTCTCGTGCAAAGAAGAAAGCGCGACATTGTCTGTGTGTTTGTGTTTGAAAATATACAATTCTAAAATACACTGTTATATTATTTGTGTTTGCGCACTCTGACGTAAACAAGCCCAACACACATGAGCAGCATGGCAGAATGACTGAAGGAGACGCTTCGTTCCCCTTGTGTTGTCACTCCCCTTGTAGCACGCGCTAGTGACGATTCTCTGTCAACCAATCAACATTCTGCAGTGAGTCTAGCTCTTCCCGTTAGGTACCGGACTACTGTGCTAGGTACCCCAACGGAAGGGTCCCAAAAAAGTAGTACGGACAGAAATCTGACTCACAACCCTGTCCAACTACGGTGTATTTTCAGCAAGTGATTGACCTTAACATTTCTTTTACGATGCTAGGCCACAAATAGCAGACAGTGCAATGCGTGCTGGCTCATTCAGTGTGATGAGGTTAATAAAAGCCTGGTGTTCAAAGTATTTCTCACCATCATCAAAGAATAGTCCTGCAGTAGGTCTAGTATTAGCTCAGGGAAACGATTAAAATAGGACAGTCCAGCTGCTGCTGCTGCTGCTGCTCGAGGAAACTGTACTGAGGGAATTCAAAAATAAACGCAGAAAAGCTTGCAGCTGAGACAATATGTACTTTGTGAGAAGTTAACATATTTTAATATGCTAAGACAATGTAAAGTATATGCAAAACAACTCTGCAAAGAGTGAAAACACTGTGGAGCTTTAAAAAAAAAAAACACACAAAAGAACATTCAGACCTGTCTGTTATAGCAACAGGCTCAACCAATTACATGAGTTTGGGGGCGGGGCTATATTTAGAGTGCAACAGTCCCCGCCCACTTTTTCAGCAGCCTTGGTTTCCGGAAGTATTTTTCCCCTACACATTTTTAAAAAGTGTTTGTTAAAGCGTTTTAAGCTATAAACCAAAGCAACCAGCTATGAGTTGAATCATAATATGAAGCAAAAAAGTATTTGAAATTAAACAAAAAATACGTAGGTACGTGGGTATTGACGCGACTGCGTCATGCACAAGGCTTCAGGAGATAAAGAGTTCCTTTGGCATGATTTGTTTGTTTTGATTCTCTGATTGGTGGAGATTTTTTGTAGAATCATGGGTAATGTAGTTTTTCACCAGCAATTCCATTGGTAAACATGATTATTTAAAAATTTATTTGAAATAATGTGGGCTGATTGCTTCAACAGAAGCACATATCATTAACAACATCACAGCTCACGGGAAGTCTGTTTTTAAAGGTTTATATGTAAAAACCTTTAAAATACATAAAAAATCAATTCCCTAATGGACAAAATGAATGGGATTTTTACTTCCGAAACCCTACTGTTGCACTGACCAATTGCAAACGTAAGTATTTTTCTTCATTACAAGAACAACAATACACAAATTCCATTGCGGGATTTGTGCAAATCATAATTTTTGTATATATATATATATATATAAAGTCTGAATGTTTGGATCTACCACAATCAGAGGCATGACACTTTGGCTGATGTCCACCATGGCTATTCAAAGAACTGAATTACTGCAGAATGAAACTTTTATTTGTTGAAAACACTTTGGTTTTCACTTGCTATTACATCAACATGCCAGGCCGCGCTGGAACGCTTTACGACCGCATACTTCAAAACAATGCCTTCAGACATCATTTAATGATGATGCTTCAAAAACTAGCACATGCTATTAATACTTCAGAAAACATTTGGGATGTAACGATTAACCGCGAGCCAGTTGAAAATCGATTTAAATGTGTGACGATTACCAAATATGACTTGCAAAAGAAATCCAGGAAATCCCTATAGCTGTTGCTGAATAAACAGAAGATTTAACTAAACAGCTTTTATAATCGCAGAACGATTTCATAATCGCGCAATTAAATCGTCTGCGATTATGAATGCGATTTTGCGTAGCTTGTCAGTGAACTACGGCTCTGTGTAGTAAATGTTGCTCCATCTGAAAGCATGTGCTGGAGATTTACTACTGATTACAGAACCGGCTTTACTGACAAGATGCGCATGACAATCACATTCGATTAATCGTACAGCCCTATATTATTCATTATTACATTAGCCTGCAAAAATAATTACAATATGATCATCCAAAAATTGCTCTTTTTTGTGCAATTTCAATGCATGGGGACTGGGGATTTAAAAGCTTCAAAATGGACATAGACACACCATAAAAAGTATCATCAAAGTAGTAGACCATACAAGTCATGCACTATATTCAAAGTATTTGATAGCTTTGTTTGAATAAACTAAAATGAAAACAATTAAAAATCATTTTTGGTATTTGAAATAAATCTGAAAAAATATATAAATATTAGATGAAAAACTTGAATGTAAAAATCTTAAATATTACGAATGCTGCCTTAGTTCAAATTAAAGTACTAAAATTATTAAAACTAAAGCTGAAGTAATAATAAACTAGCTAAATAGAAATATTAAAAACAAAAGCTAATAAAAATAACAAAAGCACATAACAAAATTACTAAAACTTACACTAAAATTAAAGCAAAAATATAAAAATAAAATTCAAAATATTTATTTCATTCTATAATAGTATATAAATAATACTAAAATATCACTGGTTTGTGTGTAAAAAAAAGAGACCTGTTTATTGAGTGAGTTGAACTAGAGAACTGAATTGATCTGAATCAAAGGCAATTTTCAGTAAATTATAACTTAAAATATGATCTTTTCGGTCAGAGCAGAAGAGTACACCAACACAACCTCATCTAAAAACTCTGAACATCTATCGTTTTACTGAGATCAAAAATTCATAATACATTTTGGGCTCTTCCAAACCAGCCACTGTCAGCATAACCAAAAACACCAACCAGGGATTTTACAGTTCAGAGACAGACATCTGTGAGAGGTGAAAGCGTGAGAGAGGGTTTTGAGGACTTCACCGTCACTGGTGATACCTTGGGGACAACCCTCAACCTCAGCATGAGAGTGCAGATCTGCAGCCTGCACGACCTGCTCTCTGTTTCCCCTAAAAGGTACAACAGTTAAAAGAACAGCAGCAAAAGCCTTTATAAACAATAAGACTTGCACTGCCAGATCAGTGTGGTATGCTGCTCGCCTCATATTGCTGGGAAAACCTTGCCTGACGCGAAAGCACTTCAGAGGAAAATGTCAGCTCTGAAAACAGTTTCAGGGCTGCTTCATACTCTGTCGCACTGCATTCCTTCCTTGTTAAGTCTAGTTATAATCATGGACTAATTGTTTATTAAAACTGCAGCAATAAGCTACTTAAAAAAAAAAACATTACAATCAGGTATCACATTAATAAAGATTATTCTGCGTAACACAAGCAACACTTGAGGCTTAAATGACACCAAGATATACTTTTACATTACCTTTTACATTGTTAAAGCAGATATTTTAAATAAATGTTGTTATTAAGCAGCACAACTGTTTTCAACACCAATAATAATAAAAAAATATATGTTTCTTGAGCACCAAATCAGCATATTAGAATGATTTCTGAATGATTATGTGACACTGAAGACTGGAGTAATAATGCTGAAAATTCAGTGTTGCCATCATAAAAATAAATTACATTTTAAAATATATTAAAATAGAAAATAGCTATATTAAATTGTAATAATATATCAAAATATTACTGTTCCACTGTATTTTTTATTATATCCTGCATCAGATTAAAAGTTTGTGCATTATTAAACACTGACTGACTTCCCCCACTTCAAACATTCACATCCTTTAAGTGATCAATATGTGATCAATATCTGTAACTGCAAAAGGAATAAACATAATTGGGCATTACCCTCACCCCCTGAGGGACTCCTTGACGTGGGTGAGAGGCTCTCCAGCCAATAGCATCATCTGACGCATGTACACCCAACAGGTTAGAAATGACGAATGGGGATCCCGATACATTACTGGGATCTCCAGTGATTCCTACCAAGCAGCTCGATGTGAAATCGACATCTTGTATAAAAACGCCACACCATTGTGCCCCAAAATGACCGACCATCTGACAAGAGGAAAATCCGCATCGCGTGATTATACCCGGGTTAGATTATGAATGAGATTAAAATAGACTATCCCTGGAAGTGTGAGGACTAAATAAATCAGCAAGGAACATCACAATGTCAAGACTGAGAATTTGCTGAGGCAGCCGGTTCAGAAAACGAAGGCAGATCGTAACATTCACGACGCGAGAGACATATATTACCCGCAGAGGCTTACCTTCATCCTCGAGATCGAGTTTCTCCAGCATGTCTTCAGATAAACCGTGGACCTGGGGACAGAGTGACAGTTGTCAAGCACAGACGAGGCGATCTCAGGCTACCCTCCCCTCGCGCCGTCCACACACACACACACACACTGGCAGACAGACGGTGAGGAGACCGGTGAGATCGGAAGTTGGCTGTCAGAGTTTAATAAAGATACAGTAGACAATAAGCGGCGGCAGAACAAACCGAACTGGTTCGGAGGAGAAAAAAACCCAAACAGGTTAAGTGCTCATGATTTAGGGTCCATCGGTCGTTGTAGGGGCAGTCAGTGTTTGCAGGCGTGCACCGATTGTGTACCCGTGCATCCAATGTGAAGTCAGTCATGAGAGACCCTCCCCCTCCGGCTTTTTACAAATGGACTGTTCCAGTTTGCTGCAGTCGCGAGCCGCCCGCCAACGGTCTGGGATTGTTTTAAAGGGGTCATATGATGCGATTTCATTTTTTCCTTTCTCTTTAGAGTGTTACAAGCTCTTGGTGCATAAAGAAGATCTGTAAAGTTGCAAAGACTAAAGTCTCAAATCCAAAGAGATATTCTTTATAAAAGTTAAGAGTTAGCCACACCTACCTAAAACGGCTCGTTCGAACACGCCCCCACATACCTACCTCACTATGTGGGAAGATTTGCATAAAGCCGCCCAAATGTTCACGCAAAGAAAGAAAGCATAACTTTTATTCTCGCTGTAGTATTGTAG